AAGAGCGGGGCGGGGGAGGCCCGGCGGAGCTGGGTCGTACCTGCTGCCGTGCCGCCAGCACGTCCTCAGCCAGCTCCTCCACTTCGGCCAGGTAGCGCAGCACGAAGGCCGGGTCCCGGGCCATGGCGGGGCCGAGCGGGGTCGGGACCGGGGCCTCCACCGGGGCCGGTCCGGGTCCGCCGCCGTTCGGCTCCGGGCCGCAGCCGCAGCCGCGCGGGCGGGTTCCGCGGCGGGAGGGCCCGGGGCCAGCGCGCCCTCTCGCGGCCACCGCCGGGAGCGCTGCCCGGTTTGGGACCGAGCGGGGCTGCGAACACGCGTGGGTCGCGACAGGGGCCGCGAGTGGCCGTGGGCCGGGAGGGAGGTGCCCGCCGGCCCGGCGCCAGCCAGGGATCTCGTCCGTGATGTGGACTAACGGTGCCGGGGTTGGCTCCGGGCTGCCTCTGTGCCCACGGAACTCGCCGCCCGGCAAAAGGATGGAGGGGTCATTGAGGCCATGTGGCGCTGAGCCCCAGAGTGCGGGTCCTGGCCCCGCAGTCGGTCCCAAACCCACCCGGAGGGACGGGGGGCCGAGAGCCCTGCCTTGCCTGGTCCCCTTGTGTGTGAATTATTTATAACTTTTCACAGCCCCCTCGCCCCCAGCACCACCGTCTGTCTCCTCTTCCTCGCTGCTTCCCAGCACGGTACCGCTGTTGGCAGCTGGGCCCTTGGAGCATCAGATGGCCTCTCTGTTATCCCAGAACGCAGTAAAGGGCACTCAAAGCACGGGGCAATGAGCTCGGGTTTCCTTTCGTGCAGCTGGTGGCTCATCTGTAGCTCAGCGTCCAGGGTCTGCCATCCCCAGGGGCTGGAGCCAATTGTGGTCCGGGCATCTTGACTCACCCTCAGGCAGCCCTGGTGCCCCCCAGTCTGTGTCAGGCAGGGGCTGGTCCAGGGAATGCTGTGGCAGGGCACCATGTCCATCTGCTGCCCTGAATGACCTTGCCTGCAAAAAGGGAAATATGTTGTCCCTCAAAATGCTTTTTACCCCTTTCTTTCTGCCCCGCCCAGTCATGAGCAAGAGGAGCTGGAAAAATGGGGTGTGGGAGATGCAGGGAGACCCAGCACTGATGATGAGGACTGGCAGATCCTCACCGTGTGTACTCTGCAATGGGAAAGGGGCCCCAGGAGCCCACCCAGGACTGGTGGGTAACAGGGGACACGAGTTCTCACGTCCCATGTCCCTACTCTGGACAGAGCCCTGAAACAGCATCTCAAGTTTCTGAATGCAGCTCTGTCCCCAGCTGTCCATCTCTGCCACCCTGGCTGTGCTGCTTACATGGTGATGGTGGGGGGAACTCTATCTGCTTTAGATCAGGGCTTTGAAGGGAGGGAGCCCAAATAAGCTGCCTGAAGCAGCAAACAGGGGCTGGGGAGAGGAGCAGCCCCAGCACTTGGGGGCCCTGGCACATGCACTTCATGAAACTCATTTGACAAAGAGCTCCCCAAAGGTGGTGACCCCAGTGCTGTGGCCCCTCTGGGCTGCCAGAGTAGAGGACCACAGGGGCCAGGGATGGAGGGAGCGAGGCAGCGGCTGGCTGGTGGTCACCACACTTCTGTGGGCAAATAATCCCTTAAGAGAGATTACCCAGATCGGAAGATTACTGGCCCTAATCCCATAAGGTCATTTGTTTCAGTTAACTGAGATCTCACTCTGTGGCAGCATGGAATGAAGTATGCCAGCTTCAGGGGAGCAGTGGGAGTGTGTGCTGGGGCACACACAGGTACTCCAGGCTGGGAATGATCCACACTCAGGTTAGATTCCTTCCTGACATCAACCAGAAAATGTACTGGGATTGAGGCTGGATGCCAATGCTGTGAAATGCTCATTTGTCGGTGGGAACAGCTGGCTGGAGATCTGAAAAAGCAGGAAGGAGGGAGGGCTTCCAGAGTCTGGGCAGGAGGGATGGGGATGGGGATGGGGATGGGGATAGGGATGGGGATGGGGATGGGGATGGGGATGGGGATGGGATGAAATGTGGCATGGGAACAGGGATGGGAGCAGGCTGACTGTGTCCTGGCAGCCGTGGAAGGAAGCAGTGACTCTGGGGTTGCCTATGACAGTGCAATGAAGGCAGGATTTTGCCAGGAATGTTGGGCTGCATGGAAGGGCGGGAGTTGCTCTCCCTGGGAGGGTGGGGCCCATATCAGCACAGGCGTGGGGGAAGCTGCAGCTGAGGGATCACAAAGCCATGGGCATCTGGAACACATTCTCAGGGCAGTGAGAAGTGGCTGGTGCTGCACTCTATGGCCTCTCCCCAGCCGAGCTCTGAGCCAGCCACAAATCATCATGGATTTCTCCTCCTGGAGCCAGTGCCAGGGGCAGACATTCTGCTTGGAAGCTGGACTCAGACTGGAACTAGAGGTCCATTTGGACCAGTTCCCTTGGGAACCGGGCAGTCAGAGGGAGCGGCCATCCGTCCGCTGCTGGGAGCTGCTTTGCTTTGCTGTGTGTTTTGTGGAAAGAGCAGGTTTGGTTTCATCATGTTCCTTTTTCTTCCTTGCAGCCCTTTTCTGCATGCAGCCAGAAACCCTCCCTGCCTGCTGGCAGCTGCACAGGAAGCTTTGGGGATGTTTATAAGGCTTTTTTCTCTCTTCTCCTTTCATGTGGCTGCTGGGGCCTGTTGTTAAGATAAATCAGACTTCAAACCACGGTCTCCATGTTCCCAGGCTGTGGATCTTTAACTGCTGCTTCAGTGGGGGTGTTTCAGGGTCAGGGGAGAAAGGTGAATCTATCTCTCCTGGATTTCCCAGTCCCCTCTCCCTGGCACTGTGCCCACCATCATGGCAACGTAGTCCCTGCTCCATCACCCAGCCAAGACAGAGTCCCCAGGGACCAAGCCCAAAGAGGTCTGGAGTGGCCAGGTGTTGACAGGGGCTCTGGCCAGCGGACTCCATCCTTGGAAGGGGCCCTGCCCTGCCTGGCTGTTGATGAAAGGCTGCTTTCTTCAGGCTTTGGGCTGGTGGGAGCATCCCCACCCCCAGGCAAGCATTTGTGGAGGGGATCTGTCAGGAGCATCTCAAGGTGAGGTGTTTCATTATCGATGCTAATAGATGCAGCACGGGGAGAGCCTCGCCGAGGGCCCGGCCACTCCCTTGTGCTGAGTAACCTCTGCATCCCCTGAACTGCGTCCCAGGAATCCAGGCTTACCCCACCCCGGTTTGTGCTGATCCCTCTGGCTACTCTGCAAGGCAGAATTTGGAAGTTAGCTGTGTTTCCCGGGATCAAACACGCTCCCCCTCTCTTTGTGCCAGAGTGTGCTGACCATGGGCCAGGCTCCAGGCAGGCTGAGCTCTGCACGCAGATGCACCAGGCTGAGCCTCGGGGGCTGAGCCGCAGAGCCAGAGCCCGGCCCCGTGGGCTGGGGGCTGGGGCTGCCTCCAGGAGACAGCTGCCTGTATGCAGTCACCCTCCCTGGAGACCCGCCACAAAGGAGAGAAAGCCCTTTCCTCGCAGCCCTTTCCCTCCCAGCAGTGCCAGGGATGCCGGCACAGTGCTGCTCCTCGTGTGAGCACGTCCCGGGGGTACAGCCCCTCGCTCTGCCAGACGCGTCGTGTCCAAACACCCACGGCAACAAGCGGAGGAGAGGTGGTGGGGCAGAGCCGAGGAGCAGGGCAGCTCCTGCGCACCCAGACTCCCGCGGCCTTGGTACTTCACTTTCAGGGACATTCCCAAGGCTGGGGAGTAACATATGTAACTCTTGCACGAGTTTCATTTCAGGAGTAACAAAAGCCTGCTACCGAACCCCATCTTTGGTCTTTTCAAAGAGAATACACCTTCTTTGAGCAGTCTGGTCTACTGGAAGATGTCCCAGCCCGTGGCAAGGGGTTGGCACAGATTGATCTTTGAGGTCCCTCCTGACCCAAACCATTCTATGATGATTCTATGACTCCCTCCAAAGGAGGGCTGGTCCAACCCAGCCAGTCCCTGCTGGGACCCTCTCTGGCTACGTCAGGCAGGATTTTGGTGGTCTGTGGTCCTGTCTCAGCCCAAGGGGAGAAGAGGCACCCACAGCTCCACGCACCCGGACCTGGGCCCAAGCCTGGACCCACAGGCACGGTCTTGCCTGGGCTGAGCCTCGGGGCTGGGGCGCCGCGGGTCTACCCAGGAGCTTCCCGGGAAGCTCCAGTACTCGTTGGGCTGGGAAGGAGTGGTCGGACAGCGCGGACAAGGCGGTTCCGCCGGGACGGGGTGGGGAGCACGGCACGGTGCTCGGCGGGTCCGGGCGGTCCTCGCCGGCGGGGACCCGGGGGGTGGGGGCCGGTCGGGGGAGGGGCCGGTTGCCCTTCCCAGAGCGGGGCGGTGCCCAGCGACACCGAGCGCTCCTCCGGGACCCCGCGGCGCCGGCGGGGGGGCGGCTGCCCCTTCGGGCGGGGGAGCGGCGGGACCCGCCGGGGGCTCCCGGCGCCGGGCGCGGCGGAGCCGGTGTCGGCGGGCGCGGGGAGAGGCCGGCGGGGGCGGGCGCTGCCGGGGCGGGCTCCATCCCTCCGGAAGTCTCTCCCGCTCCCTCCTTTCTCCTCCTTTCCCCCGACAACATGGCCGCGAAGTCGGACGGCGGCGGCGGCGGCCCGGCCGTGCTGCTGGAGAGCCCCGAGGGCGGCGGCGGGCGGCGGGAGGCGGGCGCGGAGCCCCCGGCGCGGCGGTACCGGCTGCGGGACGGCTGCTGGGTGTTCTGCGCGCTCCTCGTCTGCTTCGCGGACGGTGCCTCGGACCTGTGGCTGGCGGCCCATTACTACGTGCGGGGGCAGCGGTGGTGGTTCGGGCTGACGCTGCTGTTCGTGCTGCTGCCCTCGCTCGTGGTGCAGATGCTCAGCCTCAGGTGGTTCGTCTACGACTTCGCCGCCAGCACCAAGGACAGCGGCGGCGGCACCAAGGACAGCGGCCCCCGCGGCTGCTGCCGCCTCTGCGTCTGGCTGCTGCAGGGCCTGATCCACCTGCTGCAGCTGGGGCAGGTCTGGAGGTACGGGGGTACCTGGGGCGTGGGGGTGCCTTTGGGGTGCGGGTACAGCGGGGATGGGGCGGCTGCAGGGCCTGATTCACCTGCTGCAGCTGGTGCAGGTCTGGCTGTATGGGAAGGTCTGGGTGTACAGGGGCATGGGGATATCGGGGTGATAGGGGTGCTGGGGGGATGAGGATGCTTCTGGGCTTGACACACCTGCTGCAGCTGGGACAGGTCTGGTGGTACGAGGGTACCTGGGGGTGAGGGTACAGGGGGCTGGGATGGGGTTGCTGCAGGGCCTGATCAACCTGCTGCAGCTCAGGCAGGTCTGGGGTGCCGGGGGAGGGGGGGACATGGGGGTCATGGAGCCAGGCGGGGCCTGGAGGGAGCGGCACAGTGCAGCAGGGACATGGGTGGGGATAACGGCATGGAGACTTCAGGAGGGATTGGCAGGGCATGGGGGAAGTGGGTGGGGATGGAGAGGTGAAGCAGGGACCCAGGCAGCTGGGGGAGGCACAAGACTCAATCTCTCTGCAGCCCCAGAAAGATGGGTGGTGAGAAGAGTCCCCAGCCGTGGGTACCGGGGGGTGCGGGTAGGAGCTGTGGGTGCAGGTAGGATCTGTGGGTGTGGGTGTGGGTGTGGGTGAGGAGCCACAGCCCAGCTCGGTGCCACAGCCCTACCATCCCTGCTGCCAGGTGGTGCTGGGCCTGTTTGGAACCTGTCTGGACATGGCAGTGTAGTCCTGGGGGTGTGAAGTGATTATGCTGGGCCCTGAACACCTCGAGGCTCCTGTCCTGATCTCGCTGTATTTGTGGGGTGGTGGGCAAGGAGGTGCTGGTGGTTCCCAGCCTGTCCAGGCTCTGCTGCTGCCCTCTCCCAGTCCTGGGGACAGGCTGGTGGTGTGGGCTGGGCAAGCAGCAGACAGACGGGCTGGGGCTGCTCAAGGCCCTTCACCCGCCTCTCTGCAGACCCCCCCAGAGGCACAAGGTGGTGTTTTCTTGGCACCTTCCTCTGCTGTGCCGCGGACCCAGCCCTGCACCCTCCCAGCTCCAACCCCACGTGTTGGGAAAGAGCCGGGCGCTGGCACCGAGCGGCTCTCGAGGAGCTGGTGCCGGGAGGGCAGACAAAGGCAAATTCCCGGAACAATGTGTGGAGCCGGCAGCACTCCCGGCTCGGGTTTCCATCCTGTTTCCCCTCCTGAGTGCTCTAGTAGAGGCTCTTTGCTCATTCCCTGTTGGTGTCTGCATGTTCATTCCTCTGCTGCTCCTTCTGGGATGCTCTGGGGTGTTTAACTTTGTTTGACAGTGCAGTGTGTGCCGTGCTCAGCACACCTGCCAGCACACCTGTCCTCCCCGATCTCCCTGACAACGGGACCACTCTCGGGGTACTCTGGCTGCAGGATGGGTGCAAAACCTGCTTCAGTGTGCAAGGGGAGCTGGTGGGGGAGAGGACTGGAGCTCTCTGGTTCTGCCTGCAGCTGGCATGAGCCCGACACACCTGATCCTGACCCAAGCTGGAGCTGAGCTGCAGCCGGGGGCTTTGCTCCTGGCGTGTCAGTCCTGCTCTTGGATCGGCTGCGCCATGGAGACTCCTAAGCCAATTAAAGCGGTAACTCTCAGCACTCATCCTCCAGGACATGTTGGTCTCAAGCAGCAGCTGAGGCTCTTTCTAATCTCTGGATTTGGGATTAGTTCGGGTGACCAGTTAAATGCAGTTTGTTAAACCCATTAGTGGGGTTGGATCCGGTGCAGGAGGATGTGGCAGTTAGAGAAATGTTGGATAAAAGCTGCAGGTGAAAGAAAGGATTTTCCCTGGTCAGAGCACTGTGTCCCTTGCCAAACATCTTCCCCTTCCTAATTTACCTGACTCCTCCCTCACCTCACCTCTACCAACCTCACTGCACAGCCCTGAGCCCCAGTCCCAAAAATGAAAGCTGCTTCCTACCTGCAAAAGCAGCTCTGAGCACTGGCTCTGTGGTTATCCCTAATTAAAGCTGTTAAAGTTAGTTGTTGTGGGTATGTTCATGGTGCACACGCACAGACTCCATCACAGATGGTCTCTGGAGATGCTGCCAGTGCCGTGACCATGTGCCCATGTAAGCAGCAGCAGCATGGGCCTGTCCCCAGCTGGTCCCACATGACCACTTGTGGTGTGCTTGTGGGCCCTGCTTGGATGGTTTTGCACCTCAGGATTGGTCATCCACTCAAAAAGTCCCCAACTTCTTTACCAAAGCAGCTCTGCAGGGCAGGGGTGCTGCTCATGGCAGTGTGCCTCCTGCCCAGAAGTGTGTCAGTGTCCCCTGCCACCTCCACGGGCTGGCAGCTGGCCAGGGTGTGCTTCAGGTCCCATTGGGCTGGGGACAACCCTATTCGTGTCTGTGTCTGTGTTAGACCAGGGTCACACATGGTTTGGCTGCCTGGTCCCTCTTTTCCTGAAAGCCCCAATCAGCCTGTGAACCCCCATCCTCTGCTGACCTGGGGAGCCAGTGCCACCCCTCAATCCAGGTGCCAGTCTGGTAGCAATCCAGGAGGGCAAGGACATCCTGGCTGGGCTCATGAGGTGTGGCAGAGCTGGGACCTCTGCTCCCTAGAGCTTTGCTCTCTCTGTGTGGGAGCAGGAGCCCTCACAGCCCTGGGAGCACCCAGCTTTGGGGTATCAGCTTGTCCTGCTGCAGGAGCCAGTGCTGGCATTCCCCACCTGGCCCTGGTGCAAAGGACAAGGGGTTTTTAGGGCCAGACAAAGCCTTTCCCTGAGCACAGCTGCCCTCAGGTACTCCCATCTGCCCCAAAGATGCCCAGGGCATCTTGTGGTGTGGGGCTGGTGGTGCACAGTGAGTGCAGTGACATGGGCACATGTGCAGCTCTCCCTGATGACCTGGCTTGGTAGGATGTGTAAGAGATTAAAACGGCTGTAACAGAGAAGCAATTTTCTCCTTGTTTAAATACAGGATTAAGGGATGAGATCCCAAATTATCTTCTAGGAAAATCACACTTTCTACTGCTCACTCTGGGATCAAAGGGTCTCTCATCCTTTTCCATCTAAGGATGATGATTAGTGAATTTGTATGTAACCAGTGTTGGGCTTTTCTCCTTGTTCATTTTTTCCAGCACCTGAAAACTGGACTCAGTAGTTGAGAGCTGGGGGACAACAGTGACACTGGTGACAAATACAGATGTAGTGGGGCTCTGACCAAACCAGTGCCCACCCAAGCCACCACCTTCCTACTGCAGGGTTTTTGTTGGATCACTCTTTGCAATACAAAGGAGGGAGCAATTAGCCCTGAGAGCTCTCACTGTCGGTTTCTGCCTCATCATCAGTTTTTTTGAAAATTAAATGATTTTTTTTCAAGTGATTGATTCTGTGTTTCCCGTGCAGCTGCCGCGGCGCAGGGCTGGGGAGCGCCCGCCGTGCTGGCAGTGCTGGGATCGCTCACTGGGCTGAAACACCACGGGATGATCAAATGCAGAACAAATAAGAATCAACATTTCATTCGGGAGAGTTGATGGGAGATGAATTCTCGTTTTAATGAGACCTATGGAGCTGGCGGACAGAGGGATAATTGTGCCCTTGCTGAAAGCTGGGGAAGCCACGCGTCACTTGTTGAGCAGTGCAGGACCCAGGGCTCTGTAGTGTGTGTGCAGCGGCTGCTCTGTGCCACGGACAATGGGATTGCTGATGAGCCCAATTATCAAGACTAATTAAAGGGACAGGATGAGGTCACCAGCTCCCAAGTCTGGTTCATGCATGGGCACCCTGGGGCAGCAGTGACACCCTACAGCAGCCAGGGCTCTACATTGTTTCCCTTGTTGTTTCCCCCTATGCTGTGCCTTCCAGCCCTGGGATGCCCACTGATTTGTTCCCCACCAGAGAGGAGGGTCCTTCACTGGATCCTTCTGAGGGGCAGTGGCTGTGGTGGTGCCACAATGGCAGCACTGGCCTGGCTGCTGTGAGCGGGTGGCACTGGGATGCAGATCTGCGCCAGGAGACAGGAGCCAGGTGGCCACAGCCTCTCCCCACCCCAAGCAGTGAGGCACAGGCTGCAGCAAAGGCTAAAATTAGGTGCTGCCCCGGAGGTGGAGGTTAAAACGTCACTTTGACACCAGCACAGAGAAGCCGGTGAGGCTGGGAGTGGGGCTGGCAGGGCAGAGCAGATGGCAGCAGGGTGTCCTGAGGGCTCGGTGGCCCCAGCTGATGGCCCGCACTTTGCTTTCCAGGCTGTGCAGCCCCGGGGGTGGGAGCACTCTGCTGTCCCTGCAGCGGGAGCAGGGCTGGCTCCTGCCTCCTCCTGCTGACGGATGAGCTGAAAGTGCTGTGATCAGGCTTTCTCCCATGCTCTGGGCTGATGGAGTTGTCTGGCAGCACATTCTGGAGCTGATGGAGAAGCCGTTGCTCTGCCAGAGGATTTTATTCACTGGGAGGAATCTGTGGCCTGACGTCCTCCTACTGCACCTGTTTTCCTCCTCATCCGGCTCCCTTCTCCTCCTTGCCAGCAGAGCCCTGGCCATGGTGCAGGCAGGGCTGCCCGGGGAAGCCCTGCCTGGCCAGCCCTGTGTCCCCTCCTGTGGTGCCAGATCTGGCCCGCTGCCGTGGGGAGGGTCCCTGGTGGCGGTGACTCAGCCAGGCGTGCGTCGGTGCCACGCACACCTCCACTGACCCCCAGCCGATGACCAGATGGCCGAGGCCAGCGTGTGGCTGCACCCACAGCCCTGCCAAGAGCCCAGGCAACACCGGCATGAGCACCGGGAGCTTCCTGCGGGCAGCACGGCACAACCAGCTGGTTCCTCCGTGCTGGCCGGGGCAGGAGGAAGCAGGTTGGGCTCTGCGCCAGCTGGGACCAAAATATCCCTTTTGAGAAGCAGCCGGATGTGGTGCTGGGTTGGGGCAGCCTGAATCCATGGGTGGCTGGAAAGCAGAGCTGTGGATAGGATCCCCAGTTTGGGAAGTCATTAATCCTGGATTAATCCTGGTTAAGGATTGGGGTGATGTGATGTATGGCTGGGTGGGCAGCGGGGTGATGGCCTGGGGCTCTGGGGTGCTGAGCTGGTTTTGCACAATCCACCCCTTCCCAAATTGCAGCCCTGGCCTGGGACAGGGATACATTTGTTGTTGCTGCTGCCCTGCAGCTCCTGGCACCCCTGGCCTAAGGGGCTTTCCATGGTCCCAAATCAGCAGGAACGGGTTGGCAGTGGTCACAGGGCATTCCTGGTGTAGGCAGAGTGGGGTGAGCTCACCTGGCACCCTTCCCCTGCCTCTCACAGGTACCTCCGCACGCTGTACCTGGGGCTGCAGAGCCGGTGGCAGGCCGAGCACCGCCGCCGCCACTTCTACTGGCGGATGATGTTCGAGAGCGCGGACATCAGCATGCTGCGGCTGCTGGAGGCCTTCCTCAAGAGCGCGCCCCAGCTCGTGCTGCAGCTCAGCATCATGGTGCAACAGAACAGCATCGAGCCATTGCAGGGTAAGGGACAGCGCTTGCAGGGTGGGGGGAGGGAGGTCCCTGACTTCTGCTGACTCTCATGGCTGCTCCCCGCAGGACTCTCAGCCTCGGCCTCGCTGGTCTCGCTGGCCTGGATGATTGCGTCCTACCAGAAGGTGCTGCGGGACTCGCGGGAGGACAAGATGCCCATGTCCTACAAGGGCGCCGTGGTGCAGATCCTCTGGCACCTCTTCACCATCGCTGCTCGTGCCATTGCCTTTGCCCTCTTCGCCTCCGTGTTCCAGCTCTACTTCGGCATCTTCATTGTCACCCACTGGTGCATCATGACCTTCTGGATCATCCAGGGCGAGACGGATTTCTGCATGTCCAAGTGGGAGGAGATCATCTACAACATGGTGGTGGGCATCATCTACATCTTCTGCTGGTTCAACGTCAAGGAGGGACGGAGCCGCTACCGCATGTGCATCTACTACATCATCACGCTGTCAGAGAACGCCGCCCTCACCATCCTCTGGTTCCTGTACTACGACCGCAAGACCACCTCCGACTTCAACGCCTTAATCCTCGTCTGCGTGGTTAGCTCCAGCTTCGCCCTCGGCATCTTCTTCATGTTCATCTACTACTGCCTCTTGCACCCCAACGGCCCCATCTTCAGCCACCGCTCCGTGGGCTGCATCTTCCGGCAGGAGCCACCCCCAGTGCCGGGGTCCCCCGTGGAAGCCGTCACCAGCCCCCCGCGCTCGCTGCCGCGGACTACAGGGGGGGAGCGGGACGGGGCGCCCGGGGAGCGGGACAGCTGCGTGCCCGTCTTCCAGGTGAGACCCTGTGCCCCGCCGGCGCCGGCAGCCCGCGCCCCGCGGACAGAGGGGCCCGTCATCCGCATTGACCTGCCCAGGAAGAAGTACCCGGCCTGGGATGCCCACTTCATTGACCGGCGCCTGCGGAAGACCATCCTGGAGCTGGAGTACGCGTCGCCCACCACCCCCCGCCTGCAGTACCGCACCCCCGGCGCCCCGCAGGAGGTGCTGGAATACGAGACCACCGTGTAGGTTGCGGGGCGTGAGGCTGCGGCGGGAGCCCCGGTGCCACCCAGGCCACCCTGTGTCTCCGCAGCTGTTTGCCTTCCTTTGGGTTTGCCGGCGCTGCCGTGTCGCCATGCCAGGCATCCCGTGGGCGGTGGCCGGGGAGGTCTCTTGGTGCTATCCCCTCCCCGCGCTGCATTCCCGCAGCCCAGACCCGTCTCACCCGACGGCGGCCGCCCCCACGCCCTCCAGGGCTCGTCCTTGCCAAAATACCTCACCTGTGCCTGAGCCCAGGCGGTGGGTGCTGTGGTCCATATCAGTGGTGCAGGATGGGGACCGGGGACGCCCTGGGATGGGGGTTGGCAGCTGCCAGAGGCACGGTGGGGCACGCTGGGGCACAGTGGGCAGCACACGGGAACACAGGTGCCTGTGCCACGGCAGAGCCGTGGGGATGGAACACGGCTGCACTGGGGTGTGCATGGGGCCTGTGACCCCCAGGGAGCTGGGGCAGGGACAGCCGGGGTCCATCCAGTCCCCCCCTATGTCTCCCACTTTCCCCACCCTCTGCCACACCAACCCTAAGTGAGCCCCTTCATATCCATCCTCAGCCCCCCCTGCCTCAGGGTTGAGCCATGTCCCCAACCCTATGGGGTCTCCAATATCCTGTGGGGTGCAGACCCCAGCCTGGGGGGGCCCCTCGTGGTTGGGCACGAACCTTGCACCCCTGGTTCTGGGCTGGGTCCCCAGCTGCGGCCAGGAGGGCTGCACCCCATCCTTCCCCCCATCCCCACAGGAACTGCTTCATCTCATTGGGTTTGTTTTCACCTGAATGGTGACATTTTGTGTGACATTTTCTACCTCCGCTGGGGCTGGGGGTGGCAGGGCCTGGCTGGCACCACTGAGGGGTGTGTGCGGGGCCGCCGGCGTTCCCCGGATTCCCCAAAGTGGGATTCACCCCCGGCCATTCTCCTCTCCTGGGCTGGCATCCCTTCCCACCCGGGAGCATTTCCATTCACTCCTTCATCAGCATCACCCTCCTCCAGCTCCCCAGTATAAACCTGAGCTGGGACCCTGCCTCCCCTGTGTTCCTCCTCCCCTCCCCTGCCTGCCCACAGTCCCTGCCCCTGTCTGCTCCTGCCTCCCCAGAGGAGTGGGGCTGCCTGGGCTCTGGGTTTGAATGTGTCCCTGGTCCTGCCCAGACTCAGCCCCCACCGAGGGGCTGTGCTGAATGTACCCTGTGCCCCCCAGGCCGGGACTGTTCTGGGGGGGTTGTGTGCATGTTTGTGTGTGTGTGTGTGTGTGTGTGTGTGTGTGTGTGCGTGTGTGTGTGCAGGGGCTGGCAGGGGTTTGCAGGGCAGGGGAGCTGCTGGACCCCCCAGCCTTGTGCTGCCCCAGCCCCTTGCCCCCCGCACCCACGGCCCCTGTGCCTTCCCTGCATCCCCTGTGCCCTCGCCATGGCTCCACCAGGTTCCGGCTTCTGGCTGCCGTGAGCCACAGTGCCAATCCCTGTCCGGGCAGCACTGAGAGCCCCTCTGTGCCATGGGGTGCCCTATGAGGCTCTAGAGGATGGGAGGAGTGGGATGGGAAAGCTGCACCTGGGAACGATTGGATATGGGGTCCCTGCGTGTGTGTGCCCGGCCCTGTGACACGGCTGGGGTGGGTGGGTGTGCGGTGGCATCACGTTGCTTTTGTTTCCCATTTCTCGGTAGCTGGGGTGACAGCAGGTTGGGCTGGCCATCGCTGGGTTCACTGGTGCTAGCTGGTGCTAACTGGAAGCCTTGGAAACCCTTTAGGAGGAGGGTGCAGAGCATGGCCGGGGCTGGGCAGTGGGCTGGGCCCCTGCCACCTGCACCCCTCCTTCACTGCCGTCAGGGCAGCCCCCGGTGGTGTGTGCTGGTCGTGCTGGGGCAGCCCCCGGTGGTGTGTGCTGGTCGTGCTGGGGCAGCCCCGGCATGGGGCGGCTCTGGGGCGGGGTCTCTTTTCCTCAGGGAAGGTGGGGGGCAGCAGCCAGGGGTGGCAGGCTGGCCCGGGGGCTCACCGCTGCAGGCATCAAGCAGTGTCACCGCAGCCCCCGAACGGTGCCCAGGTGGTGGCAGCTCCTCCCTGGGTCGGGCTCACAGAGAATCTGGGGATAGGACACATGGGGACTGTGTGCCAGCACGGGGCGGCTCCTCTGGGCTCCCCCTGCCCCTGCCCCTGTCCACCCCAGGGCAGAGATGCCATCTGGGCATGCCTTTCATGCCGGGGTTCGTGCGGGGACCCCAGGGCCACGCTGGTGGGTCAGAGGGACACTTTTCTATGCACTCAAGCCACGGTACCCTCAGCCCTGGGCTGCTCTGGGCAGAGGAGTCTGGCCACGTGTGGGGTTCAGGGGGAGCCCTCAGTCTCCTGCCCCAGGCCACCCCCCTGCCCTCCACCCAGCCTGCGCCACAGCAGCAGCCAAACCCAGCACCCTGTCCCCCCATAGCGGGGTGACAGCGCCTGCCCACTGGGATGACAAAGGGGCACGACCGGGGGTCAGGATGGGCACAGCTCCAGGGGTGCTCGCGCTCCCACTGGGGATGGCGGGGTTCTGGTCCCTGGGGGTGTCACCCAGGGGTGGCAGCAGGGCTGCTCCAGCTTCAGGGAGTGAGGGAAGTTTGTTCTGGCAGGGGCTGCCGCGGGGTCTCAGCCACATCCCTGAACCCCCCAGCGCTGGGACCCGGCGGCTGCTGTCACGTACTGTAAATACTCTGTGTGCCACCTTCTTCTCTGGGACCCTCGGCGCGGGCGGGGGCGAGCGGGAGGCCGGGGTCCGTCCCGAGACTTTTTTGTATACCACAAACTTTTTGTATATTTTTAATTTTGCTGCAACATGAGATATTAAATTCATTTCAATAAGCCCTGCCTGTGGGATCCTGTCCTTGTCGGCAACTCCAGCTCACAGCCGAGGCTCCAAAGCAGGGCAGGATGATGCCTCTCTGTCCCGGACTGCTCGGGGACATCATTAACAGAGCAGGATGGCTGTAGCAGCGCTGCCTGCCGGGTGTCGGTGGCCCTGGCCGGTGCCAGTGGCCCTGGCGTGGTGGCCGGCAGGGAACGGGTGCACAGGCAGGATGCAGCATCTCGGGGAGGAAGCTGCCGGACATGGCCACTGCCGGCCCAACCTCCTCCGTGCCGGAGGCCCCGATCCCCGGCCAACTTCCAGACCCACGATGGGTTTGGATCCCATAGGCAGCTGTGGGGTGCTGGATGCAGCTGTGTGGGCTCCTGCCCGTGCTGTTCCCGGTGCCTGGGCTCCGTGTAAGTAGGACAGGATGTGGGCAGAGAGGGCTGGGAGCCCCCAGGGCTGCCCCATGAAGATGGGGCTGATGTGGGGTCATAGGGAAGCAGAACCAGCCCCAGGTCCAGGAAAGAGTCCTGCAGTGAGGGGCAGGGGCTGCTGCATAGCAAAGTCCCACAGAAACTGCGCCTGCTCTGCTCCCAGCACCTGCTCCAGTTCCATCTCTGCCCAATTCGATTCCAGTCTGCCCTAGTCCCAGACCCAGTCTCGATATGTGTCAACCCCAGCCCCAGTCCCAGCACCAGCACCAGTCCAGATCCCTGCTCTAGTCCCATCTCAGCCCACTTCAGCCTCTGCTTCTGCCCAAGTAACAGCTCAGCCCCTATCCCAGTCCCAGTCCTGTCCCAGTCCTGTCCCAGTCGTAGTCGCAGTCGCAGTCGCAGTCCCAGTCCCAGTCCCAGTCCCAGTCCCAGTCCCAGTCTCAGTGCCAGCCCAGCTGAGCCCGGCCCAGCCTAGTCCCAGCACCCCGCAGGAGAGGCAGGAACTCACATCCCAGCTATCCTGGTGGAGTTTCCGACACAGGAAAGCGCCGCGGCGCCGAGCGGGGCAGTGGGGGCGGCCGCAGCACCGCGTCCTGCCATGGACAGCGAGGCCAAGAAGGGGAAGAAGGTGCGTGGGGCTGGGGCTGGTGTCCGGGGGACTGGCGGGAGAGTGGGAGCGGGCGACATGCACAGGTTTGAGAGGCTCCGCACCCCTCCCACGGCACAGTGGGGAGAAGTGGAGCCACCCAAATAGTGCGAACAGCCGGCAGAGAGGTGCTCAGCTGTTGCCCCCCACCCCCAGGTGCTGGGTGCCACGGACCCCGTGTGTGGGGCCAGGGTTGGGTGCCCGGTGCTGACCCGTGCCCGTTCCCCTGCCAGGGTTTCGTGTCGCCCATCAAGCGGCTGGTTTTCCCGAAGGCTGCGCGGAGGGCAGCGCTCCGCAGCAGCGTCTATCGGCGCCCGCTGCACTCCGTGCCCCTCTATCCCCCCGACTACCTGATCGACCCCCAGATCCTGCTGCACGACTACGTGGAGAAGGAGGTGAAGGTAAAGGGATCCCCAAAAGTGCCTGGGGTCGCTGCTTGCTTAGGATGGGGATATGAGGCCACCACACCATGCTGAGAGCCACACACAGAGTGGCCAGAAGAGTTCTGGTCCCCTCCCTACCCAGGCAAACACCCAGGGAGGAGAAGGGTGCGCTGGCCGTGCAGAGAGGACCCCCCTAATTGCAGGGTCTCCCTGAACCCTAGGGAGATGTGTCCTGACCTTGGGGGCATGGGTGGGGGGGAGGGTGCATGCCCCAACATCCCCAAGCTGCCCTGGGTTTTTTCCTATCCAGTTTTTAGGTCATCTGACATGGGTGACATCCTCCCTGAACCCCTCCAGCCGGGATGAGGTGCTGCAGCTGCTGGACACGGCCAGGGTAAGAGAGGTCCCCACTTCCCGGAGGGTGGGCACTGGGTATCCCACACTGCCGGGTGGCCCACGCAACTCCCTGCACTCTGTCCATGCAGCAGCTGAAGGAGCTGCCGCTGCAGACGACGCCAGAGCAGGACAGCATCCTCAGCCTCTCGGCGCGCTGCCTCCTGCTCACCTGGCGCGACAACGAGGAGTTGATCCTGCGAATCCCCACACACGAGATCGCGGCGGCCTCATACTTGCGCGACGATGCCCTGCACCTCCTCATCCTCAAAACCGGTGCGGGGGTTCGGCCGGGGGCCACCAGCCGAGGCACAGCCGGCCCCGAGTGGCCGGGGTCCCCTCGGCACGGGGGGCTGGAGCTCGGCGGGTGATGGGTGTCAGAGTCTATCAGGGCAAAATCCCGCCTTGTCTGTGTCTTGCTGTGTCCCATCCTCTCCCACACACACACCCCGGAGAGCTGTCCCCAACCCACTGGGGCTCCCACATCCTCACCCCAC